CATATGAATATTCAATTCCATTGTTTCCGTACATTCTATTTTTCAATACCGAACTAAGTTTCTCTAAGTTTTCTATTATATTTTTTGCAAAGCAAACTTCTATGACTTCTTTTTGACTACCAAAAAAAATAATAATCCAAGCGAACCAGTCAAACTCAACATCAATTGACACTTGAATTGACAGTCTAATGGAGTTTGACAAACGGCAACCCAATATTCTGCAGCCCAATATAGCTGCAACATATGATTGTTGAGTCTGTCGTTGCCGTCGTTGAAACGCCTCTCAACATCAACAGCAACCATCAGCCATTATTGCAAATAGCTTAAGTTGTAGCTCTCGAAACACAAATTTGTTCAATTCTTTGTTGTCGTCGTTTGCCTTTGAATAAAACATAATTGTAAGATTTTGGAAAAATGATATGAAGAACAGCAACCACAACATAACGTCATGGCGGTATTTTGAATATCCGCTAAGATATACCTAGGTAAACATAAGATGTTGGGCAAAATGTTGATGGTTGGACAGTGGGTAAAATAATTATTTATTTTTTCAAAGGGTCATACGGCTTGTACGTGTTTTTTTAAATATGGAGTATTTTGTTGTAAAAAAATCTAAGAGAGAAGGCGTAGGCGTAGACTAGAAATATTGTATAGCAGGCGTAGATTTGTTTTTAATATTTTAAAAAAGGTAAACAAGGCGTAGTTTTTTATAAAGCAAGTGGTGAAGAAGGCGATGATTTTTTTATAAAAAAAATCGGACGAAACTACATATGGGAGCTATATCTAAATCTGAACCGATTTTCTTCAATCCAAAAAATTTCAAATTCAATAGGGTTCGTCCATGAGTCATATAAGTGAACTGTGCCAAATTTCGATTTACGCATGTCCGTAAATCGATTCTATGCATATTCTCAAAAGGAATTATGGGTCTATCTCGATTCCTTTTGCCTGTCACAAAAATATGCACAAAGGCATAATACCCTGTACCACAGTGTTGTGTAGGTTATAAATATGGTAGCCATTGAATCCAGAATTTTTTTTATAAAAATATATTTTTTTATCTTCAAATAGTTTCTATAAAAACCAGTAAGGAAAGTAGTAAAGTCGGAAGGGGCCGACTATATAATACCCTTCACTTTGGGTATATTCAACAGATGAATCCTAACAGACATTGAAGGACCATAAACATGTCATTCTGCATCCTACACTAAATTGTTCATTTGGTCAGATATAGAGTTGCTGTATATATATATATATATATATATAACGTTAAGCGATTTCAATGAGACTTGTCTGAACCGATTTTCACGACACCAAACACATTACGCTATACCAAATTTCGTGCAAATCGAAAGATATATAGGGACTTTGGTACACCATATACATCAAATCGGACGAAATTATATGGGAGCTATATCTAAATCTGGACCGATTTTCAGGAAACTTAACACACATCATTCTTGACCTAATTCATTATGCTATGCCAAATTTCGTGCAAATCGAAATATATATGGGGACTTTGGTACACCATTTTCATTAAAACGGACGAAAATATATATGGGAGCTATATCTAAATCTGGACCGATTTTCAGGAAACTTAGCACACATCATTCTGGACCTAATTAAGTACTCTATGCCAAATTTCGTGCAAATCGAAAGATATATAGGGACTTTGGTACACCATTTACAATAAATCGGACGAAAATATATATGGGAGCTATATCTAAATGTGGACCGATTTTCAGGAAACTTAATACACATCTTTCTAGACCTAATTCAGTACGCTGTGCCAAATTTCGTGCAAATCAAAATATATATGGGGACTTTGGTACACCATTTTCATTAAATCGGACGAAAATATATATAGGAGCTATATCTAAATCTGGACCGATTTTCAGGAAACTTAACACACATCTTTCTAGACCTAATTCAGTACTCTATGCCAAATTTCGTGCAAATCTAAAGATATATAGGCACTTTGGTGCACCAATTACCTTAAATCGGACGAAACTATATATGGGAGCTATATCTAAATCTGAACCGATATTCTCGAAAATTGGCACACATTATTCTGGAACTAATTCAGTACGCTATGTCATATTTCGTGCAAATCGAAACATATATAGGGACTTTGCTGCCCCATTTACATTAAATCGGACGAAAATATATATGGGAGCTATATATAAATCTGAACCGATTTTTCCCAATTTCAATAGGGTTCGTCCTTGGGCCAAATAAGTGAGCTGTGCCAAATTGCATCCCAATCGGATAATAAATGCGACCTGTACTTTGTTTACAATTTAACATGGACGGACAGACGGACGGACGGATATGCATAAATCGACTTAGAAAGTGATTCTATGCATATTCTCAAAAGGAATCATGTGTCTATCTCGTTTCCTTTTGCCTGTTACAAACTTATGCACAACGACATAATAGCCTATACCACAGTGTGGTGAAGGGTATAAATATGGCAGTCCCAGGATCAGAGGGAGAAAAAACAAAAAAATAACAGTGATTGATGTCTACGACGTTTTGCTGTGATTATTTTGAAAGCAAATTAGCTGTCGTAACACGATTTTCCTTTCGAAATGGAGGTTAGTGATTTTGGGAAATGGTTTTCTTTAGAAAAAAGGTACTTTGTACAGCAACATTGTTCTCTAAAGGAAGAATAGCGGTCTGGAATACTGTAATATGTTTTCCTATATACGAATTAGTATCCCTAGTTCCTGCTATTTTTTAAATAAGAAATATTAATATTTTTATTATACGATTTTTTAATTAAACGTCTTGACGTCCTGAAATTTTTTCTATCAAAAAATAGCAGTTCTACCAAATATTTATCGAAAAATAGGTTGGTCCTGCCGAATTATTTCCTATTGGCAAAAAGTGTTTTGTCCGCAACATGTAGTCCAAGGTATTGTAGCTTTATGCGGCCCTAGGAGCTTGTAACCCCGAGAAAATTTGTCATAGTCCCACCTTTTAGTATACCAATCGTCATATATATCGCATAGCTGATTCGATCTAGATATGTGTGTCCGTACATCTGTCCATTACAATTTGTTTGTACAGTACAGGCCACAGTTATGGAGCAATCTTTACGAAATTTTTTACACGTAGGTTCGTTTCCCTACTGTTTTTGGTTATAATCGGTTAATATTTATGTGATCAATTGGAGCAAATTCTTTATTCTTTTCTGTTCACTCTAGAGGCCATTATTATGGCACGAGCATAACGAAATTTAACAAGGAGAAAAGGACCTAATCAAGGAACATACATGATAATTGGTCAATATTTAGGGGACCAAATGGTGTGTGAGAATAGTGACAAAATTTTCATATATTGGTAATATGTGCCCCGGAAAATGTCGGATAGTTGAATTTTAATTTCAAACGCGAAATTTTGTCAGACTCGGTACCACTGTCTTGCGGCTGATCAAAATCTTTATTATTATTACAGATTTGAATTTCAATATTCCATGTCTTTCGATGCCAAAAAAAAACCTATCTGTCTATCCGATGACGTTCACAACGTCATTTTCATCTTCATCATCGCCGTCATCATCGACAAAGACATAAACATGATATGTACTTAAAGATCTGCTCCAAACGATTTTTATAAATAAAGTGATACCAAATTATTATTTTGGCTATATTGTCATGGCTTAAGTATCAACTACCTCAGTTGCTTGATTTTGTTTCTGATAGCCATCAATAAAATTGTATGTCGGTTGGTTTCAATATTTTTTTTATGAATAATGCCAAAAAAATCGCCACGATTTTGACGATATGACAAACAGTGTTAATAATAGTCATAATAGCAAAAAAAAATGGCAACAACAAAAATCCGATCACAATAACAATAAAAATAATATGGATACGGAAGCCAATAAAATGAACAAACAATATAAATAAATATAATAGATATATAAAGTAAAAAAATACAATGGACTTCATTGTTTAGTAAATAATATGTAAGTGTGTGTGTTTTCACAAAGTGGAACAGGAAAAACTAGAGTGAATGGTGTTTCATGATTATGAGATTCAAAGATGATGACAGCTAGATAGCTAGACATAATTGCTATGTTAATTGAAATTGAAGCACTTCCCCAAACAAATATAAAAAAGTTACAAAAAATATTCCAAAGAGGGTTTGAAATGTAGATATCTATGCCTTTCCAAAAAAATTAAAATTTATAAAATTAATCGTAAATTTTTGAAAAAACCCAGTACGTTTATGCTAAAAAATGTCGAACATTCCAATGTATATGACAGATGGTGCCAGACAACTTGGCAATGCCAAAAATATACATAGTGGCCCTCGTATATTGAAATCCTCATTAATATGAAAATTTAATTCAAAGCTACATAGGGTAGGGTATCACAAAATTACATACCACGCGGTAAACACCTCTCTCGCTTGAATTTTAAATTTTCAATAACCACAAATGATTTCCTTTTGCTGGCAGGCTGGACTGGCCTGCCTACCTCACCTGACCTGACAGTAGCCGCAACAAATCATGTTTAGCCATTATTAAATTCGCTTAAAATCAATTTAAAATAATTTCGACTTCTTCGCCCCAAAAATGCCACATGAAATTTAAAATAGTCTGAAATTATTTTAAGCCGTTACGTTCGATGGCTGACTGGCTAGCTGGCAAGGCAGACAGCCAGCCAACGACCAAAAGCTGTCCACCAACTAAAACCGAAAATATCATTAAAACGAACAGCGTGATCAAAATAACCAAAACCAATGACTTGAAGGCAAAAACTACAACAACACACAAGCCAACAACACCAACACAAAAAAAAACAAAAAAAAATTGAAAAAGAAAATTGCAACTGGACATCAAAGCCGATTTGCGGGTAGGCAGTTGAACTTTCTTCACCCAAAAAACACAATTGGGGTGTAATTCCTTAAAGGCTGCAGTGTTTCCTTCCCTTCTCTCTCTCTCTCCCTCTGCCTTAACTTAGTTTGGTAGGTGTTAGATTGAAACTTACCTGTCAACGTCACATTGACATGCATCAGACCAATGTGGGTACCAATACGCGCCGGCAATTTCTCACGCGAAAATGCTTTATATGGCGCTATAATTGTCGTATGGGCAACATGCCATGCTGAACCAAGTCTTGTGACTGTTGGTGTTTTTTTTTTTTTTTTGTGGTCGGCGACGTCATCGTCATCATCGAAAGGATAACATGAAAGGAAAAAGGAATAAAAAACGAAAATGAAAGGAATTATTATTAAAGTTCGGTAGGTAGGTATGTATTGTAATAAATTCATAATAATTCTGTTAATATTCAATTGTATGATATTATGTAAAATAAGATGAATAATTTTCAGGATAACAACAAATATAATTATAGTAGAAGACTATAAAACTTAGAAGAAAATGAAATATCAACTCCAATGAATAGATACTTATTTAGAAAACTTTATATTTATTTTCGAATATTTTTAAACTGTACCACAAAATTTAAAAAAAAAAAATCTCTTGTGAGTTTATGAGGAAAGCGTCAATCGGCGAAACGCTTCTCGATGATTTCAATGCTATGTTATCCATCTATCAAAATCACGTAATATTTACCAAAAAATAGGTATTTGGTATTAAAAATTAAATATATCTGTTTAAGGTTTTATTAGCACTTTCCAATTGAAGTGGCTGCAACTTTTGAATATAGGTCCAATTCTAGTAGCATTTTCCCAAAGAAAGTAGCTCCAATTTAGCAGTGAATAAAATACTCTAAACGGAAAACCAACTAGGAGAGTAAAATATTATTTTTCGAAAAAAAATTTTCATTATCAGTCCATGTTTCGACATAGCTTTCATATTACGGTCTTCGCCATTTTTTAAGGTTCATGTAATTGTAATTGAAATTGTTCAACCAATAACATTTTCATAAAGCGATATGTTCATATACATAACTTCCATATGACGAAGATTCTAATCACATTTTCCTAACGAAATAGCTTTAATTTGCCAGATGATAAAATACCTCATCGCAAGATAATTTCAATATAAGATTTTAAGGTTTTTGGGCGTTCTCAATTATAGAGTTATAAAATATGTCCCTCGATCGAACACATTTCACTTCTCCGGTTAATTATCTAAGTAGATGATTTTTCTGCTCTAGACTGCCTATGTTAAGGGGCTCCCATCTATCGTTGGCTGGAAACAACACCTGGTAGAATTTTTTGCAGTGGTTGCTATTGCTATTGTACCATACTCAAATATTGATTTCTTATATGATAAATTGTAGTACACGAGTGGCTAAAAACCCCGCCCGAAGGTTTTTATTTCAGCTAAGTAGCTGATGAATCTGCTTTAGCATGCCCTGGCACCTAGTAGCAGCACTTCCGTGAATTTGTATGTGGTGATTGGCGTTGCTATAGCTTAGGTTGGCGTCTATCGTTGTATGCAAATAACGCCTTCTTGAAGTTTTGCTGTGGATGGGGTCGTTCCTTAGTGTTTCCTTTTTCCTCTGGGTTCTCCCTCCATTCATATTTGTTATTATTATCATGTTTTGATGCCTCTTTTCACAAATATTCGAAACCCAGTTGAACGAAGATAAATATTAATAATTTTCAGGAAGTAGGAAATACGTAATATATGTATTATCAAAATATTTTAATATTATTAGAAGAGTGTATATAAAAAGATTGTCACTATATGTCCATATTTTAATATAGCTTACATATAATGAAAGCGCCATTTTTTTTTAAATTTCCATTCACATTAACCAAAGTTGTTCTCATAAAATATGTAGTATCCGGGAATTTTTAATAAAAGTCCAACCAGATTTTTACAAAAGTTCTCTTGTGCTCATCATTTTTTCTCATCTTTCTCCTTTTGAGGGGGTTAGGATTTACACAATGTATTACCATTTTAGTTATTTTGCCCTACTGTTAGTTGCGTTACTCATTTACTTAGTTTCGTTCCAGTTAGGTATATGATTGGCCTTTTATAGCCTGTCCTAAGTGGTGACACTGACATCTATTGTTTCTTTGAAAAAAAAAAAAACACTTCACTGAAAATTTGTGCAGTGATTGTGGTCCTTGCATTAAACATTAAATAATGTTGCCATATTATACTGAATATAATTTCATTATTTTAATTTTAGCTAAGTATGTGATTGGTCTGCTGTAAACTATCTTAATTGGTCCTGCCATCTATCGTTGTCTAGAAACGACATATTCTTGAATGGGCAGTGGTTGCATTCCTTGTTTGTTTGGTGTGGCATTTTTCCTCTGTGTGATGCCGACATGGGTTATTAGAATGCCTGGGTGCTTTACATACATTCCATCTAGAGATTGATATAATAGTTATATTTATTTATTTCATTGTTGTTATTGCTTCTAAGTAGATGAAATAACAGATTATTTAGTGTTGCCTTTTTCCTCTGGGTGGTATTCTGATTTTGAATTTGTGTAGTGATTGGGGTTGCTGTAAATCATCTGATGGATTTCGGACCCGAGAACTTTCAGTTTTTAGGAAATACATCCGTACCCTAACAATACAATAACCAACTAATATTATTACAACCAACTAATAACTTGGCATCAGCTTCAACATATGAGCATTATTTAATATAGGTATGGTGGGATATAGTGCCACCACGAGGAAAGTGACAACACTAAATAAACAAGGACAACAACCATCGCAAAAAGTCAAGAAGGCATTGTTGTTTTTCTTATAAAAATAATAACATAAATAAATAAATGAATGTCGATATTTCAACATAGACTCACTACTCCACTTTAAGCACTTTGAAAATTGAAGTCGCACTTTCCAGTAGAATCGGCTCTCGGGATAGCTGGGGACATAATAAATTCTGACACAAAATGTTCAATATAGACCAGTCAGCTTCGAAAGCCCCCATATAAAGGCGTCTTTTTAGGTACACAGAGGGTTCATGTGGCTTGTCCAAACTATTTGATTTGCTATTTTAGAGTTTTAAAATATAAAAAATTGCAGCAATAAAAAACCTGTGTTGGGAAAGGAAGGAGCAACCAGATGGAGGGGACCTTCGGAATTAATCTAGGCTTGGCAAAGATAATAGGTTGTGCAAGGTATTATAATTATTGAATATGTTGACCCTTTTTGGGGAAGGTACCAGAAGGAATGGGATAATATTAAATTTATAAATATTGACATTTTTGACCATTTGAGGAGGAGGTACAAGAAGTAGTGGCCCATTGGCTGTGCAAGGTTTGGTTCTAATCGAGCATTCCATTCGCCTGAAATTGCATCTATAATTATTGAAAATGTTGAACCTTTGTGGGGGAGGTATCAGAAAGAGTCATTGCTCCACTCCATCTTGTACCTCCCCCACAATGGGACTTTATCTAGGCTTGTTAATGATAACAAGTTGGACAGTCTGGTTCAAATCGGATATTTCGATGGGCCACTTTTTGTATCAAAGTGTATAAATTAGTATTTCGATTTTCGTCGATTTAGTCATGTCCGTTTTTCAAAATCAATTGTGCACAGTCATTGCTAGTTCTTCTATGGCATATATAATTTTGGAATATTCCAATATAAGGTATTTTAGGAATGTTGGATAAATTTTTCAACCGAATTTCCCTTCCGTAAAATGGGTTATATTGACACCGACCGACGTTAATATAATATATTTCCCCTTTTTAAGAATTTTGATAATTTTCGATAATTTCCCTTTTTCCAGAATTGATTGAAAACTCATTCAAAACGGGGTTAAAGGTGCCCGAATTATTCTACAGAAATGTTCACCATAATGTTTTACTATAAGTCTCAGAATACATTAAAAATCAAACATTTTTTTAGGTTACCCCCGATGTAAACTTTCAAAACGCCGATACACGTGTAGTCTTTTTTAACCCCTCTTTAATAATCTGTTGGAATTTCCCGGTAATTATTTTTTGTGTTGCACAGTGTAGTTATAATTTTTATACCCTTCACCACACTGTGGTACAGGGTATTATGTCTTTGTGCATATGTTTGTAACAGGCAAAAGGAAACGAGATAGACACATGGTTCCTTTTGAGAATATGCATAGAATCACTTTCTGAGTCGATTTATGGATGTCCGTCCGTCCGTCTGTCTGTCTGTCCATGTTAAATTGTAAACAAAGTACAGGTCGCATTTATGATCCGACTTGGATAGCTCCCATATATATTTTCGTCCGATTTAATGTAAACGGTCCCTATATATCTTTCGATTTGCACGAAATTTGGCACAGCGTAATGAATTAGGTCTAGAATAATATGTGCAAAATTTCATAAAAATCGGTTCAGATTTAGATATAGCTCCCATATATATTTTCGTCCGATTTTTTGTAAATGGTGCACCAAAGTCCCCATATATCTTTCGATTTGCACGAAATTTGGCACAGCGTAATGAATTAGGTCTAGAATAATATGTGCAAAATTTCATAAAAATCGGTTCAGATTTAGATATAGCTCCCATATATATTTTCGTCCGATTTTTTGTAAATGGTGCACCAAAGTCTCTATATATCATTCGATTTGCACGAAATGTGGCACATCGTAATGAATTAGGTCTAGAATGATGTGTGTAAAATTTCATAAAAATCGGTTCAGATTTAGATATAGCTCCCATATATATTTTCGTCCGATTTTATGTAAATAGTGCACCAAAGTCCCTATATATCTTTCGATTTGCACGAAATTTGGCACATCGTAATGAATTAAGTCTAGAACGATGCGTATTAAGTTTCATGAAAATCGGTTTATATTTAGATATAGCTGCCGTATATATTTTCGTCCGATTTAATGTAAATGGTGTACAAAAGTCCCTATATATCTTTCGATTTACACGAAATTTGGCACAGCGTAATGAATTAAGTCTAGAATGATGTGTGTAAAATTTCATGAAAATCGGTTCAAATTTGGATTATATTTTCGTCCGATTTTAGGTAAATGGTGCACCAAAGTCCCTTTATATCCTTTGATTTGCACGAAATTTGGCATAGCGTACTTAATTAATTCTAGAAATATGGGTTTTTAATTTCGTAAAAATCGGTTCAGATTTAGATATAGATCTCATATATATTTTTGCCCGATTTTAAGTAAATGGTGCATCAATGTCCCTATATAGTTTTATATATAATAAAGAACTCAAAATGGGGCCGAATGCACAAAACATACTTAAATAAGTGTAACCTAACATGTGACAAGTTTCGATGAAATCGGTTTACATTAGATATTTTACTTTAAATTAATTTACATAATTTTGTCCTATTGTAAGAAGCAACTCTATATGTGACCAAAATTTATAGGTTGCAGAAAGACCTGTTTAATTTCATATTAATGGTCCTTCAAAAATGCGACGTCTGTTAGGCTTCCATCTGTTGATTATACCCAAAGTGGTGAAGGGTATCATATAGTCGGCCCCGTCCGACTTTACTACTTTCCTTACTGTTTTTTTTTTTTTTTTTTTTTTTTTTTTTTTTTGTAAACGATATTGAGGGAACCCGTGATGATATCATTTCATATGACCTGGACATCATACTGGAGTTTTAATAAAAACATAATTGAATTGAATAAAGTCGGATGAAATTGTTCAATAGAATTATATCAAAATCCATAACAAAATCGTTCATATAAATTTACAATATTTCAATATATATAGGGAGGTAGCAGGCGCTGTTAATTCGACATATGTAACATGAGTCTTGCAAAGTTCAAATTTGAAAGTAAACATGACTAATTTAACTTTTTTCCTTCCCATATTTCGTTCAGGATGCACATAAAACAATTTTTATTACCACCCATCATCTATGGTAAATGAGTAAACGTCAATGATATGACACAGATTGATATGACATTTATTAGTCATAAATAAAACAATTAATATTTGCTCATAATACTTATTTTTTGGAGTCTCTTGTGTTGTTTACCGTATCATCTAAGATGTTTATTGCCATTTATCAACCAATTTTATTATTTTGAATTTTAATGCTGGGATTTCAAATTAATTTCTATTAATAATTAGTATGTATACGAATTCTATACTCACTTAAAATGACTAGTCCCACGAAAAGACTTAATGTGACAGTTGAGAATGTTGTGAATTTCTGCAATTAAAAAAATAATAAAAGAATTTAAATTAGTATTTAATAGAAGAGTATGGAGAGATATTTCGTTTCAGTTGAAAGAATAATTTTGATGGTAATAATGGAGATGAGAGAAGATTTCGATTAATTAAACTTAAAGTGGCACCTTTCGACATGTTACTAATTATAACAGAGTATATAGGACTTCCCCCAAACTTGGGTCAATATTGATCATTTTGGTAGAGAGATTTTCAACCAAAATTTAATAATCTTGCCTGAAACGGATAATTTTCGATAGGAAACATTTTCTGCCCAATTAGAAGTCAAAATTTACAGGTACTTTGGTCGAAAAATACCGACAATTTTTAGTATGAAAATTTTCCTTACAAATGAGTTCCCGATATTAGTCTTTGGTTGAAACATTAGCTACGAAATTAGAACCCAAGTTACTAGAATGTACCCAACATTTACAATTATATGCAAGCTTTTCCAAAACATAGACCATTTTCAGAGTCATCATCCGGGGAGTAGTAGCAATGTATGCGCAAAGTTTCAAAGCTCCATTTAAAATATTACGAGCACTATGATTTCAACAGACAAGCAAACTTGCTAAGTCGACAAAGAATTTTATTCTGATCCCAAAAAAAATTATTTTTGGATATTACGAGGTGCTACAAACGGAATAAAGGAACAAAATATATTTATAGTATTCCTCCAGGGGCGTACACAGAGGAGGGCCTATGGAACCCGGCTCCAAAATATTTTTTTATACAAAAAATGTATGTTTGAACCAACGGCCCCCTGAAATGAAATCCTGTCTACGTGCCTGATCTCTCGTGCACTAAAAAAATCTCCTTTGTTTTAACCTTGCCACCCTATTACACAAATTATTCTAACATCACGATAACACTTGTCTCTAATTCTTTCCAGCACTTATCACAGATTATCTTAAAATAGAAAATGTCGTATTTTTCGTAAAATCTGTCCCCAAGTACTTAGTTCAAATAGCAATTATTAAAATTATGTCATAACACACTGTCTACATTTTTATATATCCAGAAAACATAATTTTTAATTAATTTAACAATCTATAATTACAAACACATGTTTTTGATAACAGACAACAACAATACTAAACATTCTACTATGCATTCACAAAAATGTTATACGAAGCGTAAAACAAACTTAATTGACATGCCAACAACAAAAACAACAACAATGCAAATATAACTTAGAGATATGTATTAATAAATATGTATAGCAAAAATTATGCATGTGTATATTAATACATATACATAGCTACTTGTATATATGAGTTAGTACACGCCCAGTGTTGAGTAATTAATTATGCCATTATGGAAAATAACAAAAAAAAAAAAAATATTATCAGGAGTATGGAAGCTAATTCGTTCAGAGAATAAAGGGTACCTCATCATGGACTGCAAACAAAAAAATTCTAAGAAATTCGAACGTAGGCTATATCTGGTCAACTATATTTATAAACCAGTAAGGAAAGTAGTAAAGTCGGACGGAGCCGACTATATTATACCCTTCACAATGATACCCTTCACCACCTGTAGACAGAACGGTCATAGAATCTTTGGAGGACCATTGCGATGAAATCGGCGAAATTAAATGTGCTATCTAGATAAATATTTTAACCAATGGAAAAACCACATACCGCATACCCCATTTGTTTTTTATGATCACTATATTCAATTTAATATCCTCTGCCGAATTTCGTGTAACCACCATTGAAATAAAATCGAACAAAAATATATATAAAACCTATATCAAAATCTGAACCGATGTCAACAAACCTTATCACTCATCATTTTTTTTCTCAATAGCCTTCGCTATGCAAAATTTTACTCAATCTGACAATTATTGGGAGTTTGGTGCATTATTCACAAAAAAATCGGACGAAACTATATATAGGAGCTATATCTAAATCTAAACCGAATTTTAAAAAACTTCGCAGACATCTGTCTGGATCTAATGCAGTACTCTGTGCAAGATTTTGTCCCAATCGGACAAATATTGGGAGTTTGGTGCATCATTCACAAAAAAATCGGACGAAACTATATATAGGAACTATAACTAAATCTGAACCGATTCCAACAAAACTCCGCACATATAAGCATGGACCTGATTCAGTGCGCTGGGCAAAATGTTGTCCCAATCGGAGAAATCCATGGAATATGGTGTATCATTTACATAAAATCGGACGAAACTATATATATTTATATATAAACCGATTTTCTCCAATTTCAATAGAGTCCGTCCTTGGGCCAAATAAGTGAACTGTGCCAAATTTCGTCCAAATCGGATCATAAATGCGTCCTTATTAACAAAAATACATGGACGCACATGCGTAAATCGACTCAGAAAGTGATTCTATGCATATTCTCAAAAGGAACCATGGGTCTATCTCGATTCCTGTTGCCTGTTACAAACATATGCCCAAAAACATAATACCCTGTACCACAGTGTGGTGAAGGGTACAAAAACTGGTTTTATTTTTTAGTTTATACACATTTTCATGGGCTCAAACCAATTGTCATAGTACTTTATCCACTCCTTATAAGCATGATTTCTGAAAGCTTCAGAAGAATCTTCTGGCAACGAAAATTGCTGAAAATTTTTTGCTTTGTGAGGGCGCTGTGTGACGGAAGACCTATCCATTATACGTTTTTGTTGGCCGAAAAGGCGCTGATTTCAGCCTCGTCTTCTTCTGTTCGTTTATCGAATATTCTTGGAAGGCTAAAGACAAACATATTGTGGGTTTCCACTTAGAATTGTCCATCCTATGTTGCTCAAACGGAACTGTAGTTTTGTCGAACGAACCGGGAACCTCTTGTTTCGAAATTTTTTCTCAATGAACGACATTCCGTGATTTTGGCTTTGTTCCGGGCTCAGACACACATATTCACTATTCGTCATCCCCTATAAGTTAAAGTAAATATACAATTTTTAATTCATTTTGCAACGCTTCTAAATATTCTTCAACGACAATATACAATCCATTATTATTAAAAAAATTTACGCTCTATTATGTCTTCGAAAAAAAAAAAACACATTAAAAAATCTACGCAGAAATACTCTTTAAAAGAGCTATTCTCTGGTGACCCTTAAAAAATGTTCTTTACGCGCAGCTGGACCTTGAAAAATATTCTATGACTGGAAAAATATTATTAAAATATCTACGCTCTGACATGACTGGAAAAAAATATTCTTCAAATAATATTCTTAAAGAAATCTACGCTCTGGTGACCTTTGAAAAAAACATTCTTGAATAAATCTACGCTCTGGTGATCTTTGGAGAAAAAAACATTCTTAAAGAAATCTACGCTCTGGTGACCCTTGAAAAAGATATATACTTTAAAAAAACTTCATCCTGATGACCTTTGAAAAAATTATTTAAAAACCCATTCTTTGCTGACCCTTGACAAATTATTCTTTAAAATATCTACGCTTTGGTTAACCTTGAAAAAATATTCTTTAAAAAAATCTACACATTGAAAAATATTCTGTAATCAAATCTACGCTCTGTTAAGCCATTTAAAAATATACTGCGAATATGGCTTAAAAAATGATTTTTTTTAAATCTACACTCTGGTGACCCTTAGAACCTATTCTCTACAAAATATACACTTAGCTAGACTCTTAAAAATATTCTGAAGCAATACGTTTTTGTAGGTTGTATGCCTTCATAAAAGAATATTAATATTTTTTTAATGACTCAAATTGTCGCTATTAGGAACTTCGATGAACTCAATAACTTTCCATGTACTTGTCCAAGTAGTGTTCAAAGCTAGCTAAAGTAAAAAGCGACTTCTTACAATTTCGCTCTCCTTTTATACATTTTAAATATTAATACTTACTTAGTGGAGACGTAACGTAAAAGTACACAAAGAGTATATAAAACAAATAAAGATAAAGTTGATTCGCTTCAATTCTTTAAAAAATCTACGCCCTGCTATGGCTTGAAAAGATTATTCTTAAAAAATATCCACACTGCTATCAATTCTAGATCTGTTGCTAACAATCGCTGATTTTTCCGATTGTGATTAGTTTCACATTTCATTATTTCTTTATTTCAGACACTCTTACCGACCTCTGCATTGGTGTTACATAATTCGCATATGTATTTTCCAATTTATTTCGATATAAATGCTAAATACAATATATCAACCGAATGTTGAAAATTTTCTATGGATGTTCTTATGACGCAGAGGAGGGCGTATTTTTCATAGAAGAGCTGAAGGTCTGCCTTTTCATAAAAGAACTGAAGACCTTCATCTTCATAGAAGAGCTAAAGATCTGTTCATAGATAAGCTGAAGATTTTTTTCTTCATAAAAGAGCTGAAAGTCTGCCTCTTCATTGAAGATGTGGAGGTCTACATTTTAATAGAACAGCTGAAGGCATGCCTCTTCATAGTCGAGCTAAAGGTGTGTCTCTTCTTAGAAGATCTTAAGGTTTTCTTCTTCATAGAAGATCAGATGGTCTCATTTTTCAAATCTCTGCAACAAATCTCTGTCAATAGTGGTCATTTTTTTAAGGTAGTACGAATGTTACATAAAAACAATAATAATGCTATGGCTTGAAAAGATTATTCTTAAAAAATATCCACATTGCTATCAATTCTAGATCTGTTGCTAACAATCGCTGATTTTTCCGATTGTGATTAGTTTCACATTTCATTATTTCTTTATTTCAGACAATCTTACCGACATCTGCATTGGTTTTACATAACTCGCATGTGAATTTTCCAATTTATTTCGATATAAATGCTAAATACAATATATCAAACAAGTATTGATACGTAAAACAAACCCAGCCGAATGTTGAACATTTTATATGGATGTTCTTATTACGCAGAACTTGAAAGAAATACGGCATTTACATTAAAACATTTTGACTCTATGAGGATTTATTTGACATATATGTTATGGATCAGGTAATCCGGTACAATGTAAAAAATTAAAACAAAGATTTTTTTGTCTTTAGAGTAATCCTT